AGTTATACAAAAATTCCAGCAAAAATATCCGGACACAAGAATATTTCATGCGGGGCTCGCAAACTGATGAAAAAAAATGTGGAAACGGGTTCTGTATTATCCATAAAGAGGCAGACAAAGAAACTAAATGAAGAAGACGCTGCTTTTCAGATAGCTTTTCAACAAATGACATTGTTTCTTCCCAACATTGTCGTTATTGGAGCGATGTAAATCCAATTACCCTTAAATTTTATACGGTCAATGTACTTTCAGCAAGACAGTTGCCCAGCTTACCATTCACACATTGTGTCAAATGGTTAAATTTACAATTTCGTCAAAAATGGATTGAACGAAATGGTCCTATTTGATGGCAAGCACGCAGTTCTGATTTTACAATTATGAATTTTTATTTTTGGGGATGATTGAAACAAATTGTTTACAGTGAACCATTATAAGATGATGCAGAACTATTAAAACTAAGAATAATTAAAGCGATAGAATCTCTACCACTGGCGGAAATTCGTACTTCTTATAAAGAATTTAGAACTCGTCTTCAAATGTGTGCCGAATTGGGAGGGANGGAGTGTTCCTGTTGGTAATGATAGGTCTTATGGATTTGTCAGGTTTATGGAGTTTAATTAAACATTTCAATAATGGGGGCAGGGGGTTCATACAAGTTGTGTTATGTGTGTTGATGCCAAATTTCTCTAGTATAGCGCAGTTGTCTTTGAGAAATTTTTTGATTTTAGAATTATAGGCCAAAGTAGGATCTTTTCTGATAGTTTTAATTTGATTCTCTTCAAAAAATTTGAAGGCTTTATCTATATAATCTTTTTTGTTAATTAACACCATGCCCGCATTCTTGTCACCAAGAGTCATAATTAGGTTGTTATCTTTAATTTTTGCTTGAAGAGCCCTGATATTGCATTTTATATTATTAAATATTTTGTTTTTATATCTTTCCCCTCTATTATTGTTATCAAAATTATTAATTTTAATGTTTTTAAAGAAATTGTTATTCTCGTTAATGATATTGTAGAACTGTGGGTGTCTATACAACTGTGCTTCTAGTTCAATTAAAGTTTCGTGAGGTAGAACTTTAGAGGGGATTGAGAATTTATGACCTAGTTTTAAGATGTTCCTATCCCTAGCATTCAACTCAACATCGCTCAGATTAGTATAACGTGGGGCAAACTGGAAGAGGTCATTATTATTGTATTGTATTAAAGAAATATTATCTGTAGAAATCCTCCTAACATACAAAAAACCCTCCTTATTATATACCTTCTTGTCATCAACGAGAGTTCCCACATTCTTGCTCCTTATGGACTTGTTATTATTGCTCTGTGATTCCTCATTCTTCTTATTGTGTAGAAGCTGTCTTATTTTCTTCTTCTTGGTTTCCTTCTCTCCGATCGTCTGGTGAAAAACTGTGTTTCTTATTTCTTCTAATATTACTTCATGTTCTATGTATGATAATTTCTCCTGCAGTAGACGGTGTATAAATTTCAGGACGGTATCGATGATGCTGATTTTCTTGTGATGTTTTCTTATTTCTTTCTTCATTAACCTCTTTTCCAATTCGAACCTCAATGTAAGATGACTCTTTGGTATTTTTATTTTGAAGGCATAGAACTAACACCCAATGCCTTCAAAATAAAAATACCAAAGAGTCATCTTACATTGAGGTTCGAATTGGAAAAGAGGTTAATGAAGAAAGAAATAAGAAAACATCACAAGAAAATCAGCATCATCGATACCGTCCTGAAATTTATACATCGTCTACTGCAGGAGAAATTATCATACATAGAACATGAAGTAGTATTAGAAGAAATAAGAAACACAGTTTTTCACCAGACGATCGGAGAGAAGGAAACCAAGAAGAAGAAAATAAGACAGCTTCTACACAATAAGAAGAATGAGGAATCACAGAGCAATAGTAACAAGTCCATAAGGAACAAGAATGTGGGAACTCCCGTTGATGACAAGAAGGTATATAATAAGGAGGGTTTTTTGTATGTTAGAAGGATTTCTACAGATAATATTTCTTTAATACAATACAATAATAATGACCTCTTCCAGTTTGCCCCACGTTATACTAATCTGAGCGATGTTGAGTTGAATGTTAGGGATAGGAACATCTTAAAACTAGGTCATAAATTCTCAATCCCCTCTAAAGTTCTACCTCACGAAACTTTAATTGAACTAGAAGCACAGTTGTATAGACACCCACAGTTCTACAATATCATTAACGAGAGTAACAATTTTTTTTTTTAAAAACATTAAAATTAATAATTTTGATAACAATAATGGAGGGGAAAGATATAAAAATAAAATATTCAATAATATAAAATGCAATATCAGGGCTCTTCAAGCAAAAATTAAAGATAACAACCTAATTATGACTCTTGGTGACAAGAATGCGGGCATGGTGTTAATTGACAAAAAAGATTATATAGATAAAGCCTTCAAATTTTTTGAAGAGAATCAAATTAAAACTATCAGAAAAGATCCTACTTTGGCCTATAATTCTAAAATCAAAAAATTTCTCAAAGACAACTGCGCTATACTAGAGAAATTTGGCATCAACACACATAACACAACTTGTATGAACCCCCTGCCCCCATTATTGAAATGTTTAATTAAACTCCATAAACCTGACAAATCCATAAGACCTATCATTACCAACAGGAACACTCCCTCCGAAAAATTGGCTAAACATTTGCAGAAGTTTCTCACTAATAAGTTTAAAGACTCTTTGAGATATAGAGTCGGTAGCTCGGTAGAACTTGTCAAGTTGCTAAAAGAAGTTAAACTAGATAAAGATGACCGTCTCCTGTCTTTTGATATAAAAAATCTTTATTCCAACGTTAAAGTTGATGACACTCTTACAATTTTAAAAGAACATTTGATTGGAAACGTTGAGGAGCTTGATTATATAGATATGAAAGACATAGATATTCTAGTGGAGGGCATTAAGTTGGTTTGTCGGCAGAACTTTTTTATTTTCGAAAATAATTTTTATAGTATGAGTGATGGCCTACCCATGGGGTCACCGATCTCTAGTATTCTTGCGGATGTTTATGTTAATAGTTTCGAAGAAGAACTTTTTTCCAATAAATATAAACTCTTTACTACCAACATCAAATTTTATGCAAGATACGTAGATGACATCCTTATTGTTTATAATGGAAATTCCGCCAAGCTGGCTGCGCTCTTCAACGTTTTCAACAATATCTGCAATCTGGATTTTACTTTAGAAAAAGAGATTAATGCGGAAATAAATTTTTTGGACTTAAATGTTAAAAGAGGTGAACGGAGTTTTGTTTTCAATATTTTTAGAAAAAGCACGACTACCGACTCTATACTTCCAAGACTTTCATATAACTGTGCTCAACACAAAAAATCAGCATTCAGATTTTACATTAATAGATTAAATAAGATTCCGCTCTCCAAAGATAATTATTACAAAGAAGTTAATAACATTCTACAATTAGGATTCAACAATGGATACAAAACTTCAGATATACAACAGATTTTCAATGACATTCACAATAATAACATTAAAAACCTAGTTTACCCGCATATAAAAAGTAATACTAAATACATATCCTTGACTTTCAACCACAGCATAGAAAAAACAATTAATAAGATCTTAAGTCCACATAACATAACACCTGCTTTTAAAAGCTCGGCAAAGATAGGTAACATCCTAGCTAATAATAAACACAAATTCAATGTTCTTCAAAAAAGCGGTATATATAAAATCAAATGTGGAGATTGTGAGATGTTTTATGTGGGGCAGACTGGAAGATGCCTGGAAACCAGATACAAGGAGCATATCAATAAGGGTTCATCTAATTTTCATAAACATTTAAAGAAAGAAAATCATTCAACTAATAAAAACAATATTTCACTTCTACAACAAATTAACAAATCTAAACAAATGGATCTTTATGAAGAATTTTACATATGGAAAGCGGAAAGGGAAACGCCACTTCTTGTCATCAACGAGATTACCGACATTAACAAAAACAGATTATTCATAAGATGTGCTCAAGGGTTGACTGCCTAGGGTTCCTGCGGTGGGGAGGTTGCATGTTTGTTCCTTGCAGCCTCCGCACCGTCGCGATCCGGGGCGGTTTGCCTTTTTTCTTTTCCTTTTTTAATTTTGTTTGGAAAAGTCTTTTTCTTATGTTCAAATTCGTACAAATATTCAAAATTTAAACTGCGCTTGCGCGCGCATCTATTTTGCGTGTCAAATGTACTAAGATTCGCAACGGTCCGTTATAACACAAGATGTCGACATCACATTAAGTTTAGTTTTAATTTTTTTGGTTTTTTCAATTTTTATATATTTTCGGCCTTTTATTTCAAAATTTAAATAACTTTTCTATTCATTTCATATAAAATAATCATCTTAAATACCGTTTTTGGCCTTAAAATATTTAATACGTGATAGTTTTAAACATAACCTCAAATTTTACAGCGTGGTTAAAAAGAAAATGTGTCTAACAGGTAATAACTTTAAATAATTAGTTAGTTTTTAGTATATATTTCTTAAGTAGTTTTCTTTCACTTTTCATCTTTGATTGTTAACAGATTTTTCAATACTTTTATATAACATTTCAAGTTTCAACATGTGGTCCAATTAATTGACGGTAATATATTTAATAAGTTTTCGTANTCAAATGTACTAAGATTCGCAACGGTCCGTTATAACACAAGATGTCGACATCACATTAAGTTTAGTTTTAATTTTTTTGGTTTTTTCAATTTTTATATATTTTCGGCCTTTTATTTCAAAATTTAAAAACTTTTTCTATTCATTTCATATAAAATAATCATCTTAAATATCGTTTTTGGCCTTAAAATATTTAATACGTAATATTTTTAAACATAACCTCAAATTTTACAGCGTGATTAAATAAGAAAATGTGTCTAACAGGTAATAACTTTAAATAATTAGTTTGTTTTTAGTATATATTTCTTAAGTAGTTTTCTTTCACTTTTCATTTTTGATTGTTAACAGATTTTTCAATACTTTTATATAACATTTCAAGTTTCAACATGTGGTCCAATTAATTGACGGTAATATATTTAATAAGTTTTCGTTAATTTCACTCCTCTTAATTTTTGTAAATTCGTAGTTGTGTCCGAAGATGACTTCAGAGTCGAAACACGTGTAACACATAAAAATAAAAATTTATACGATTCATCTTTTAAGGCCAAAAAACTGAAGTTTTTTGTTTTCCTTCTCTTCCATATCTAATATTTGAATGATGAATCTGGAGAAAGAATTGGCTAAGTTAAAGTCGTACTAGTTTCGGGTTACCCCATCATCAGCGACAAAGTGGCGCCCAACGTGGGGCCACGTTGAAAGGCCTGTCTGAGAGGGCCAGACTTGTCAAAGGAGGATAAAATAACTTAGACGCGTTTAAAGTGGGAACGTTTAATATAGATTTGACTACGGATCAAACTAGAGAGCTTATCGTTAGATTATCTAGTGAATTTTATGGGTATTTTGGA